GGGTGCTCTCGAGTTCTGATCCCCCTGTGTGTTCTACGTTAACAGGCTCACGTGAGGGCAGAAACGTTCCTGCTGCCTCCCAGGCCCTCTGCCCCAGGAGGCTGGGCTCACAGAAAAGCGCCACCAGAAAGAGGTTCAGGGCTTATCTGTGCTGCTCAACACTATTTAAAAATGGGTACTGATGGATGCAAAAGTTAAAAAACATCTACACATGTAGGAAAACCGAGACTTAATGTGATGAAAATACGATACAGGAGGATAAACTTCTAGCCCTAGAAATGGGATCGTCTGAACCTCTCTATTCCATGTGCTCTGGTAGGAACTCCTGGGCTTACGTCTTCGTTCCGTCATCCACCAGCTATGTGACCTTGACAAGATTCCTCCTCTGGAACGTCAGCACCTGCCCCAGAGAATGACTGAGGAGGTAAAAGGGCGGAGAACAGGGAGGCACAGAGCCGTGTGCTCCCCGGGGGGCGGGAGGGAGCGAGTGTGCAGTGACGCCGGCACCCACCCTGGGGATGGTGGGATGGGGTTTCAGCCTCTAGGAGTCAGACCCCAAAATGCTCTGCAAAGTCAAAATACTAGAGAACCAAGGGAGATCTGGATCTAGTTATCTTTTCTGCTTCAAGGTGGTAAAAATCCCTTAATGTTCCAGTGACATGTCTTCGTGTACAGGATAACTCCAAAGACCCAAGAGAGAAAATCAGGATAGATGTTTGCCTTACTCACTCTTAGAAACATCTCATTTTCCCAAAAGAGAGGGGAAAAAAAATCACATGTATTATTAACTTCATTTATATTAGTGATCTCTATTACAAATTCTCAGAGCCACACTGGAGTGTAAAAGCTACACACAGAACAAGTGCACAGGCTGGAGCCGCTAAGACAGTGACATATAATGCACTGCCCGCGGCTCGGGCGCTTCCTGGCTGAAACTACACTGTCACGCTTTCTGAGTCAGCTCTTCACAGCAACATCCCGTGTCAGTCCTGCAGACTCGTGGGCGTGTTGCTCACTCAGACTGCTACCAGAAAGGTGCTTCCCGTAAAGTCCCTCACACAACCCCGAGTCAGCACAGCTGATGTATGTACCCTTATTCCACCTCCAGGCCCCCATCAGAGCTGCCTCCAGGGCACCGCAGTAACATGACTCCTGAACCACCGCGCCGCGGCCAGCCCCACTGTGCCAGCACCCGGAGGGGGACCGGAGGCTGGTGCTCACGTCCCCTTACAGCATGCAAAGAAACGTCAGCACGGCTGTGCTACCAGTTCTGCCAACCTCCAGTCCCCAGAACGACCCCAAGGAGCCGCACACAGATGGAGGAGGTGAGCTCCACCTGCGCAGAGAAAGCTCCTGCAACGTCCTTTCCGCTCGCTCACAACAGACAGCCCCCACCGCCCCTTCCTGCCCTCCAACCCCACTGCCTCCCAACGAAGCCTTCTGCAGCGAGGGCAGAGGCCACCCGCAGCGTCCCCACCAGAAGTCACCACCAGATGGCGGCGCAGAGCAACCGGCGAAGCCCACGTTCAGGTCCCAAACACCAAGTGCCAGACCCCTGGGACCGCTGCCTGCCGACCGGGCTGTGCCCGGCTGCGCTCAGTTCCTAAAATCCTGCTCTAATGACGGCTCACCTCCTCCGGGGCCTCCATGATGCACAAAAAATGCAGTTTAAATGCAGTGGTATCATGGCCCCCTCTCTCTCTCCAGCGTCATCCCGTACGTTTCTCATAAAGCCCCACATCCAGCCAGACGGGTCTCAGCATCCTCCCAGACCTGACCTCGGCGGCCTATCCAATTCCTATGTGTACTTAAGCCCAACTCAGTCCGGTCTCGATAGTTGCTCCCTGATCACCCCATTTGGGGGCTAAAAGGAAAAAACCCCTCTGTTGTCTAGATCCTGTAGGGCATAGGTTGTGTCATGTGTACACATCATTCATCCATTCATGCCATAAAATGCACCAGATGCCGTTTAACAGGAGACAGTCTAGATCAGACTCGGCCCCCAGGGAAATCAAGGTCTGGGAGGAAAGAAAATGAAGGTATCACTACATCCTGAGTGTTGATGCCAAGCAGGCCATCACCTCCACATGTCAGTTCATCCTCACCCATCAAGGAGGCCACTGTTGCTATGACGACTCCACAATCAGAAGGCTGGGTCTCCAGGAGCTGGACAGCTGGGTAAAGATGATCACATGTGTTCTTTACCCTCCAGGGTCCCTGTATGTCTCCCACACTGCTCATCCTGCCCCCTTGTCCTCGGGCTGCTGAGCTCTGAGATCTGTATCACTCACGCCCCCTGCCCTCTGCCATCCTGCAAGGTGGGGTCATGGAAAAGCGGCACACCTGCCCCCCGCCCTCCTCCTGACTCAGCGGGCTCTGGTGGGCTGCAGCGCTCAGCCACGGCTCCTGGAAAGCAGCCTTCCCACCAGGACCCAGCAAGACGGCTGCCTGCTGCCGCCCCTGCAGGCCAGGAGTGGTGGGTAAGCAGTAGACAGGTTCCACACGAAGCTGGCTGGACCATCGCAGTCCTACTCATGCTTCTGGGCAGTCCTTACATGAAACTCTTAGCATGTAAACTGCTTCCTGCCAGGTCCATGGGGGGAAGGCAAACCTGCATCTGTCTCACTACAGAGTCTGCCTTTCTCACCTGAGTAACTGCTCTGCTGAACATCTAGGCAAAGGGCCGAAGACCAGGACAGAGCACACGTCACTCTCACGGGAAGGATCAGAAAAGACTTTCCTGAGTCGCCTGATGACGAGTCAGTGGCCAAGGTGGACTGGAAGTCACCAGGCAAACGGAGAGCAAGGCGAGGTGATCCAGGCGTGGGGACGCGTCTGACCGCCGCGGCAGTCAGGCACAGGGCCCAGGAGAGAATAAGGGCATGGTGATGCCAACTTAGCTCTCCATCCACGTGGGGCAATCGGGAGGCAGAGTTAGCTAGATTCTGAGCAGGAAAACCAAGCAGGAGAGCCCTACCTTCAACAGGACCATGTTGCAGAAGATAAGCCCCACTGTTTAGCCTAAGATGCCCCCTAACGCCCAGGGAGACCTGGTCTCATCTACCAGCACCGCTGAGCTGCCCCGAGCCTGCCGCACCATCGGGCATCCGGGCTTCTTTGTCTGCTCTGCTCATCAGAGATGCCGCCCTCCTCATCAGAGACGCTGCCCTCTGCTTCTCACCTGCTCGACTCCTCTCTCAGGAGGTCTCAGGCATCGGCTTCTCTGCATACACATCTGGTCTGCACAGCGTTCCCTCGCGCCGGTGCACAGTCCACGGCAGCACTTCACTAACGCAGGCCCGCCCTGCTTACTTGTGAGCACGTCTGTCCAACAACGGGGCTGGGAGGCCCAGGAAGCAGGAAGGTGGCAGCCTGCAGATAGGTCCTGGGACTCCAGAGCCCGCGACCTAGACCCTGGCCTCTGCCCCAGCCCGTGGGTGAACTCAGGCAAGTCATGACCCTCTCTGGGACTCTGTTTCATCAACCAGAAAACGGGGATAACACCAGCCTCCACCTCAGAAATTTGTTAAGTGAGTCACGTAGAACAATGCCTGGGCCACAAATAAGCCCTCAGTAATGCTAGTTGTTAATATATGTCCATGTATCCCTTATTTCCTGTATTAAAAAGTTTGTTTGTTGAATGGATAAATTTTCCTACTATTTCATTTTGCTCCATGTAGATACCAAATTCTGCTTAGCCTTTGCTTTATTCAAGCATGAAAGGAAGACTCTCTAAATACGAGCTTATCTTACAGATGGTTAAACAGGACCTTTTCTGTAAAGGAATTCAGCTTCTTGCTACTGTCGCTGGCCTGGGAGCAAACTCCACACACATTTGCTACACAGTCACCCCACTGAATGAACAGCAGGGCTGTTTTCACAATTCACAGGGACGTATCATCACATCAGATCTTGCTGGCTCCAGCTGACCAGAGTCACGACGACCATGGGCCCCCACGACACAGAACTGACCCACAGGAAAACTTGTTTCAACACTGAAGCAATGCAAGGTTACTGCAGTCATGAAATACTCTCTACAAGTTTTTAAAAATGTCAGCTTCTAAGGCCCAAATCCTTAACTGTTACAGGCCTGGCAACACATCCCTGGGCAAGAGCCCCAACTGAGACAGAAGATCAGAGCACATGGAACAGCGTTCTCAGGAGGTGAGGAGGGGAGACTGGCTTCCAGGTGCGCCCTACGCTTCCCAGGTGACTGTCCAGGTGACTTCCCAGCTAACTGTCCAGGTAATTGTCCAGGTGACTTCCCAGGTAATTGTCCAGGTGACCTCCGAGGTAACTGTCCAGGTGGCTTCCCAGGTAACTTCCCAGGTAACTTCCCAGCTAACTGTCCAGGTGACTTCCCAGGTAACTGTCCAGGTAATTGTCCAGGTGACTTTCCAGGTAACTTTCCAGGTGACTTCCCAGCTAACTATCCAGGTAATTGTCCAGCTGACTTCCCAGGTAACTGTCCAGATGACTTCCCAGTCACCTGGGAAGACTCTGTCCAGACTCTGTCCAGTCTGGCTGACAGAGACCCAGGGTACTCCCTAGAAAAGGAGAGCATGGCCCCGCGGGAGCAACAGAAAGACCACCCCAGAGGACGCAGCGCCCCAGCATCGCCCCAACAGGAGCTGCAGAGGAGGGGTCAGCCCTCCGCCCAGGCCTCCCAACTCCAACGCTGCTTTGCGGAGGTCCCCGGTCTCCGGCCCAGCTCTCACCACGGCCAGGCCTTGGCGGGGGGACCCTGCGACCCCATCCGGGCTCTGGACCCCGCGCTCAGGGTCAGGATTCTCCAGTTTTCAGTCTCCCCTCCCGCCAGCGACCAGGATTTCCTGGGAAACCACACTCCACGATGACAGAGCTGAGCTCAATGCCACCTGCCGGGAGGACCAGAGACTAACTGAACGCTTCCGGTCGGCCTGACCATTTCTGAGGGCCGAGAAGGGCCGCTCCGGGCGACGCCTCGTCTAACACCCTTGGAGCGATGGCCCCCCACTCACCGGTCTGCGGGCGGCGGCGCCCTGCACGCTCTGGTAGAACTCGGGCGGGACGCGCGCGCCCCTGCGGAGCCGCCGCCGCCTCGCCGCGCCGTCCTGCTCGCTCTGCACCGGGACCTCCGCGGCGGGCTTGGCGTCCTCCAGCCGGGCGGCGGCGGCGGCGGCGGCGCGTCTGCGGAGGTGTCGGGGGCTGGATCGGAATCCCTGGGCAGGAGACAAAAGCGGACACACGCAGGTTGGTGCCGGTCAGCTGCGCTGTTCCCTGGAGCCCTTTGCCCACCCACAGGAAGCCCGACGCGGGGCAAGACCCGGCTCCGGATCTCTACATTGAGAGATGCTTTCAATAAACAAGAGAGTCCTACCGTATAAAGCGCAGGGAACGATACTCAATATCCTGTGATAAACCATCATGGAAAAGAATATGAAAAAGAAGAGATGTATGTACACCCGAGTCACTTTGCTGCACAGCAGAAATTAATACATCATAAATCAACTGCACTTTAATACATTTTTTTTTTCCAAAAAAAGAGTACTGTTTTTAACCCAGAAATGCCAGTTTTTAAAAAAAAAGAGTAGGCAGACACACTGCTTTACTCCTGCGCACACAGTCAGACTAAGTGTGAAGAAGGGGGCTCCGTGATGATGGGGGGCGGTCAGGACCCAGTAGTATGCCCGAGAAAGGGCCGCTCTGCCTCCCTTCAGGAAGGAAGGCCAGGAATGCAAGACATCACCAAGCAACACTTTAAAGTGAAGACCTAAAACTCACTAGACGAGGGACGGTGTAGTGTGGGTTTGGAGGTCACATGGGCCGGGGTCCAAAGGCTGCTCATTATAGCTACACATTTATTAAATATTAATGACGTAGTTTTTCTAGTGTAACAAATGGATAGCATTCTCCTCAAAGGGTGTTTTTTTTTTTACCCTTTATTTTACTACATGCATAGAATTTTATTATCTTTTCTAATTAATTTTTATTGAAGTATATGGTTGCTTTACAATGTTATTTTCTGCTGTATGGCAAAGTGAATCAGCCCTATGTATATGCATACATCCCCTCTTTTTAAATTTCCTTCCCATTTAGGTCCCACAGAACCCTGAGCAGAGTTCCCTGTGCGGTGTACTCTGTTCCCATCACTTATCTATTTTACACACAGTATCAATAGCCTATGTGTATCCATCTCAACCTCCCAATACCCCCCACCCTCCTTCCCCCCTTGGTATCCACACATTTGTTCTCTAGTCTGTGTCTGTTTCTGCTTTCTCTCACAGGGTTTTCTGGAAGGTAACATGTTAAAGGGCTTCCCTGGTAGCTCAGCTGGTAAAGAATCCACCCGCAATGTGGGAGACCTGGGTTCAATCCCTGGGTTGGGAAGATCCCCTGGAGAAGGGAAAGGCTCCCCACTGCAGTATTCTGGCCTGGAGAATTCCATGGACTGTATAGTCAATAGGGTCGCAAAGAGTCCAACGCGACTGAGTGACTTTCATGTCAATTTCAACGGATATTAAAATTCTAAGCACAGCATCTGGCAAACAGCAGGTGCTGAACACAAGATTAATTTCCCTTCTCTTTTAAGTAAGTATAAGGACAACTCGCTGGACAAGGAAACAAGTTCCGCCGTGCACCTGGTTTTGGAAAACACAGAATTCCATAAAATGATGCCTGTCCTGGCACGGCTGATGCTTCGCTGCACAGCAGAAGCCAGCCGCAGGGTTCACGAGCAGACTGGGATGGATGGCAGGCGGCAGCGCAGGGCACGTGGGCCCGGCAGATCCCACACGAGGATAAATGGATGAAGCTGAGCTCAGCGGGGCGAGCGGCACGTGCAGAGCGGATAGAGTCTATGCTCCAGGCACGGGAGCAACAGAGGGAAGAACAGAGGGGTAGGTGATGGCCAGCTGGATGGCGTGTTTATGCAGCAACAGGACGACCTTCCAGGGTCAGAGCACAGCCACATTTGGAAGTCTGGTGGAAAGTGAGAGCGGATGAGGCGTCCAAGGCTCCAAGGAGGGCTCGTTGGAGCTTGTAGATCTTCTGAATTTTAGAAGACATACAGACACTTAGACTTCAGTGAAGGCATGGAGAAGAGAGAGCATGGATTTCAGGGGAAGCAGGCGGGAGAGGCTCCGTGGACACTGACCAGGGGGTCCTGCTCACCAGGCCAGGGTGACAGGGGAAAGGACAGGCGTCCAGGTGACATGCAGAGGAGCTCGGAGGGCAACGGAAAGCAGTCAGGAGGAAACGCAGTTTGGGCTCGCGCGTCTCACAGCAAACACGGGCCTGAGGCCCCCTCCTCTGTGCGCGGGCTGACGGGGTGCCCTCACAGTCCCCACCGCGCCGGGAGGTGCCCAGGGTCCCCACACCACCGGGTCGCACAGCAGGTGCTGCGAAAGAACAGCGAGGAGGGAGCTGGGTCGCTGGCGGAGCCAGGCTGCTGTCTAAATACACAGGTCCCTGGACGGTCCCCTCCGTGTACTGAGGACGGCTGAGGGGCACAGTCACCACCAGGTGACACCGATTTCCAGAAACGTGTGCATGGACAGAATGAACAACTTACTAGCTCCTGTCCCAGTGGACTGACCCAAGCCTGCTTCTCGGGTAAGAAGGCACATTCTCTCCTCTCGTGCTCTTAGGAGTAATCAGTAACCAAATTTTACTTAAACTCCTATTATTACCGATAGACTTCCTTGGTCGCTCAGATGGTAAAGCATCTGCCTACAAGGTGGGAAACCCGGGTTCGATCCCTGGGTGGGGAAGATCCCCTGGAGACGGAAATGGCAACCCACTCCAGTATTCTTGCCTGGAAAATCCCATGGATGGAGGCGCCTGGCGGGCTACAGTTCATGGAGTCTCAAAGAGTCGGACTTGACTGAGAGACTTCACTTTCTTTTCTATTATTACCAATAGAAGGCCTCAAAGGCCGTACAAATTCCAGAAATAAAACTACATAAAACTCGCTTAAAGTGATCCCAAAAAAACATTAGTAGTCATTCTGGAGAATAATAACCCAGTAAATCCACACCCCTGTAGCTACTCTAGAGGAACTTTGCCAAGTATGCCCAAGAAGATGATCAAGCATTGCTTACATAAAAATTAGAAACTGTTTAAATCAGTCTTTTCTACACTTCTTCAATATTCATTCCACCTTCACATTTGTGAAGCTCTGAGCACCATCACATAAGCCTCTGTGATTTATCTCATATCCAAATACATGTGCACTATTTTAAAATAACTATTTACAAGACTATAGGGCAGGACACAGACAGAAGCCAGGCTATCTGGGCTTATGACGGCCTCTGTCACTTCCTAGCTGTGTGACCTTGAAGAGTTGCTTAGCCACATCCTCATCTGTAAAATGGAGCTTAAAAACACTACTTAATTCATAGAGTTGTTAAGAAGAATAAATAAATGTAAAGTACTTAGTGCCTGGTATACTGCAAAACATAAGGGTTGCCTATGATCATTAGGTAAATGCCCTTCTTGTGTAAATAAAAGATATTCTTGAAGACTAAGGCGCGTTATTAATCCAATACAGAAAGGAAAAGGAACCACAATGCAGGTGTGCCTTGCTGACAGACACACGGAGGCACCAGCCTCCCCGGTCATCAGGAGAGCTCTTCACTCCAGAGCATCCTAGACGCTCACTGTCCTGAGAGTCAAAACTATCTGGGCTGGAACCCCAGCTCTCCCACTTCTAGGTGTATGATCTCAGAACTCAGAGATCACTACTTCTCAGAGCCTCAGATTCTTCCTCTGCCGAATGCATACAATACTCGCCTCTCACGGGGTCAGTGTTTAAAGGAGCCGGTCCACATGAGCCTCCTGGAACAGTACACACATCAGTGCACGCAGTCGATGCATTACCCCCTTTATCACTACAGGCCCACTTCCTGGATCCTGACGTGCCGATTCACCTGGCAGCAGCTCAGAACTACGACCACCAACACCGCAAATGGCATGGGGTCATCACTGAGCGGGCATCTTCTTTATTTCCCTAAAGCAATGCAGGGCATCGGGGCTTACTATATGTGCTCGTTCTAAACACTATCAAAAAATAAGCCGTGACTTTTAAAAACAATTTTATTTATTTCCTTTCTTTTGGGCAGAGCTGGGTCTCGCGCGCTTTGTGAGGTCTTTCTCTAGCCCCCCAACGACTGGGGCTACTTGGCATTGCGGCTCACAGGCTTCTCACTGAACTGGCTTCTCCTGCTGTGAGCACAGACTCCAGGAGCCCAGCCGTCAGCAGCTGCAGCGTGCAGGTTCAGTAGTTTCGGAGCACGGACGAAGCTGCTCCACAGCACATGGAATCTTCCAGGGCCAGGGATTGAACCCGTGTTCCCTGCATTGGCAGGCAGACTCTTACCCACTGTGCCAACAGGAAGTCTGAAGTCATGACTTTTAACAAAAGGAAATTTTCTTTTGAAACAGCAGGTGGTGCTATAAGCTCTCACAGGTGTTAACAGGCTTTTATGGCATCGGTATAAGGTCCACTTCCCCCTTCAGTCATTTGATCTTACCCACATACCCTTCAAGCGCTGATGCTGAAGCTGAAACTCCAATACTTTGGCCACCTGATGTGAAGAGCTGACTCATTTGAAAAGACCCTGATGCTGGGAAACATTGAAGGCAGGAGGAGAAGGGGACCACAGAGAATGAGATGGTTGGATGGCATCACCGACTCACTGGACATGAGTCTGAGTAAACTCTGGGAGTTGGTGATGGACAGGGAGGCCTGGCATGCTGCGATTCATGGGGTCGCAAAGAGTCGGACACGACTGAGCGACTGAACTGAACTGAACATGCCCTTCAACCAGTAGGTGACAGGCACTCGGCAGTCTCTTGGTAATGGACTTCTGTCATTTTGAGGCCACCCTGTTTTTACATTTTTTAAATTCTTTTCTTTATTGAAGCATAGTTGATTTAAAATGTGTGTTTCCAGTGTACAGCACAGTGATTCCATAATTTTATTATATATGGTGGTTTAGCTGCTAAGTCATGTCCGACTCTTGTGTCCCCATGGTCAGTAGCCTGCCAGGCTCCTCTGTCCATAGGATTCTCCAGGCAAGAACACTGGAGTGGGTTGCCATTTCCTTCTCCAACTTTTTTTATTATATATACATACACACATATATAAGGGTCCCCAGCTGGCGCTAGTAGTAAAGGTAAAGAACCAGACTGCTAATGCAGGAGACGTAAGAGACACGGG